CAACTACGAGGAAAGGTGGTTGGAATTGGGAAATTAGAGTCTCAAAGGCAGTAAAGTCAATGGGATGGGATGGGGAGAAGCAGACTGAAATCACTGTGATCCAGCGGCGAAGAAAGATGCGAATAGCTGTGCACAGGACAGAAGTTTGTATGGGAGGTATGACATAAGGTGTTTTATGATGGATAAGTATAGACGAGACATAAAGGGAGTGTGGGGAAGAGATAACATGGTAATTGGGAATTGGAATAGGAGGGTGTGTGAGGAAAGTCTCTTGGAGGCAGATAATAGATGATTTACGAATGATAACGCAAGTACGTGTTGGGGAATTTGAAGGGGAAGGAGCAAGGGGGTGTAAAGGAGGGATATTAGGAGGTAGGGAATCTGGAGAAGGGCATTGTTGTGCCATGAGTGATTCTGTGTGTATCCGGGAGGGAGTGCAAAGGATAGAGGGGATGGAGGGAGGGAGAATGTGCCTATAGTTGGGGTTGAAGGGGGTGGGTTGTGTTGGGAGGGAGTAGATGTGTGGGGAGTATTAGTGTTAGGAGGATGAATATCGGAAGGATGGATAGTTGGAGTTGAAGGGGATGTGTTGTCTTGGGAGGGATTAGGAGGAAGGGGTGTAGGGGTGCTGTGAGTAAGAGGGGGATGCATATCAGGAGGATGGGTATTGGGAGGATGGATATCAGTGGTGGATGGGATTGAGGGGGTTAGGTTGTGTTGAGAGGGAGTAGGAGGAAGGGGTGTAGGGGGAATATTAGTAGGAGGGGTATGAATATCGGCAACCACTTCAAGTGTGGAAGGAGCATGAGTTATGGGATCTTGTGTCGCAAGCATATAGCTTTGAATGTCATCCATTGTTTTTGCAGTGGAGTTTGTTGGAGAGTTTTGTGAGAAGGTAATTGTTTCTGCAATGGAATTGGTTGGAGAGTTTTGTGGAATAAAGGTTTTCTTATGAGGGGGGGGGGAAGAGGAGACTGGTGTCTCAGGAACAAAGGTATAGGTGGAGGTGATTGTGCTGTAGGGGAAGAAGGGTTAGAACGTTTAGTCTGTCTGCTGCGGGTAGTGCGGGGAGGGAGAGGGGTTGGTGTTGGGGCTGTAGTTGAGATTGGAGCTGTGGTTGAGATTGGGGTGTCTGGGTTTAGAGTGGCAAAGGAATTGGTCTGAGGGATGTAGAATGTAGAAGTGGAAATGTGGACATCTTGGGATGGAGGGGGAGGGGCTGAGCGAACGATGCTACTAGAATATGGATTATGAGAGAAACCTTGTCGACGTGCTTCCTGTCTGGCTTCACGTAAAGTGAGACCATTTTTGTATCTGAGAGTTGCTACCTCAGATTCAAACTTGTAAGTGGGACAGCCTTTATAAAATACATTATGGGGGCCGCCGCAGTTAGCACATGTTCGTGTTTGTGCTGAGCAGTTTGATCGATTATGACCAGGTTGGGCACATATTGGGCATCGGTTCTGTGGAACAGCAATGTTTGGCAGGATGTCCAAAGCGCCAACAGTTTTGACATTGACGGGGAGGGGATTGGTATGGTCAAACAGGGAGGGATTGTCCACCAATGTAGATACGTAAGGGAAGGTCATGTGTACGGAAGGTAATTTTGGCAATATTGGTCGGATTCTTTCGTTGACCTTTAGGAGGAATGGTGTAGCAATGTACTGATTTCACATCTTGGTCTTTGAGGCATCCTAATAAGTCTTCTCCACAGTCTGACCAATCTTTGGTATCGACTGGGCAGTTTACTGGGGAGAGAGAGAGACAGTTCCGGTACAGGTATTAAGGGTTGGATGAGGTTCTGCATGAATGGGGTTGCCAGAATGATCAGTTAAATTTGATAGTGCTATAGATTCAGTTTCTGATCTGACTGTTGCCAGACGGGAGCGATCGCGTCTGGTATAGAAAGGGACTCTGCCTACATGTTTTTGGAGGCATTGTTGAAAGAGAAGAGTGTTGCTTGAGTAAGGAGCTGTAGAAGGGATCACGAAAAATCGGTCCCATTTAGCTGGGCTAAACAGAGTATTTAAGATATCTGTAGGGTTGGTGGTGGTGGATGGTCGGGGACGTGTGGAAGAGGGAGTATTACGGAATGATGGAGAATAAGGTTGCAAGGTAGTAATAAGGGAGGATTGGTTGTTTGATGAAGGTTGCAAGGGTAGAGTTGAATTTGAGGAAGTTGGGTGGGTAGGAATGTCTTCTGGAGAATGATTCTCTGCTTGAGTGGGTAATGCACTAGTAGGCATTGAGGAGTGGGTAGTAGTTTCAGCGTTCGGAGCCGTGGTCGAAGGAGAGCCTGGGTTGGGGCTATTTGATAAATGGGCTAGCCTTATAGCCTCTAATAAAGGGATTACATTTTCATTACTGGTCATGGGGAACCTGGATTATGTAAAAAGGCCTAAACGGTCCACCTCCTTTTGCTACTGAAGGTAAGGGCTAGATTAGTCGGGAGTACCATGCCCATAGTTACCGCAGGCCGTTCAGGACTGGCACTAGGTCAGCCTTTCATCCTCTCAGCACGGCTCTCACACCCAAGGAAGTAGATAGTAGAAGGGGATGGAGAAGAGACGGAAACAAAAGCTGGAGAGGGAAAAGACCATGCAAAATTAGTTGTCGAGGGCTGAGGCCCTAGGCAGGGGAGATCCCTGTATTGGGTCTCAGTCTTCGTCTCCTAAGCCCCCCCCACGACAACAATGGGCAAGGGATTGGGGGGGGGGTAGAGGGAAAACATACTAGGGAAGATGCAGAAACATCTTGTAGCAATAGGGTGGGGGTGGAGTAAGCAAAGGACTATTTTTGAATAGATAGAGGGTAAAAAAAAAAAACGTAAAGTCAGTGGTTAATAGTTAAAAGCGAAAAATATGTGCTAAACTTCTAAGGTAATATAGCACTATAGGAAGGTATAGGAAAAGGTAATGGCAGGTGATGGTTGTTATGCGTCAACTATCTAGAGTAATGTTGAAAGGTTAAAGATGTGTAAGGGAGTTGATGAGGGAAAGGGTTATGGTGGTTTAGGTAAGGGAGTTGGATCAAGTGAAGGATATCTATGCGTCTGAGGAAGGAGAACAGGTTGTCAAGGCAGAAGTTGTGGGATTCTGTAAGGATGTCTGATATGTTGGGAGGTCGGGGAAAAGAGGATAAGTGGGTGAAAGCAGAGGTGCGGGCTGTAGTAGAGTGTGGACAGGACAACAAAATGTGTGGAACTGAAAGAGCGGGGACATAGGGGGGGGGGGTCAGACCCTGACATTAGATAGGCATGTGTGACCAATATGTAAGCATGCGAGGGCTGTCTCCCAATGTCTGTTCCTGTGGAATGGAGCTGAACAAGAGGAGATTGATGGTTTTGCAGTATGTAAAATATTATTGTGGAGACTTGACCAGAAAGATTGCCAGTAAGGTTTTGAAGTAGGGTAATAATCCGTGGCTGGAATATGTGAGAAGTGTGGTTGGTGTGATGTGGACATAGCGGCATAGCATGCTAGAGTATCTGCTTGTTCATTGCCAGGGATTCCAACCTGGCTGGGCACCCAGCAAAATCTGACATTTTTATGACATGTAGACAGGCAGAACCAGTTCTGGACCTACAGACAAGGAGATTGGTCGAGTGCATAGACTTTATGAGGGCTAATGAGTTACGGGAGGCAGTAAAAATAGTGAAACAGGAAGACGGAAGTGAGTATACGCATTTTAAGGCAAAGATGTGTGCATACAGTTCTATAGTAAGGACACTAGATTCAGGAGGGAGGGTGTGTTTAAAAGTGCGATTTGGGAATGTTACTGTGATTCCAACTCCTAAGGTGGATTTAGAACCGTCAGTGTAAACATGAATGCTGGAGGAATGAATGGAGACATGGTAAAGGAAATGAGTGAGAAGGATAGAGGGGGGATATCTGATTTTGGTGGGTCGAGGAAAACAGAGAAGCAAATATGGGAGTAAGGTATAAGCCATGGAGGAATGGAATGGACAGAAAATGGGAGAGGAGGGTATCCTTGCATACGGAGAAAGGAGTAGGTAAACGTAGAGAAGAAGTAAAGGTAGGAAGCAGGGATTGTGGAAAGCTGGTGGAATCGTGCATAGCATCGGAAAGAGAGAAGGGCTCGACGTCGAGAGAGGGACGGCATGCCAGACTCAACTAGAGAGGAGCGGAAGGCGCCTAGGGCTAAACGGAGACCTCAGTGGTGGATTGTATCAAGGTGAACAAGAAGGGAGGTTGAGTAGATATGACATCCATAATCTAGAGTGGAGAGGATCAAAGTAACAAGATGATGGAAGAGAGTTTTTCGATCTGAGCCTCAGGATACGTGGGAGAGTTTGTAAGATTTAATGTACAAGATATGGTCTTGCCAAGACAATTTGAAGTCAAATAAAATGCCTAGGAATTTGCCAGAACGGTATTGGAATGGAGCGTTATATAAGAAGAGTGGGGGTTGGAAACCTATACCTGACCGAGAGAAAAGGATGGAGAAAGATTTGGAGATACAGAAGCGAAAGCCATGGCCCAAGAAGATACTGATGTTATTGCAGACTGTAGAATTGACGGAGATCTGGTATGGATGTGCCAAAGGCGTAGATGGTTAATTCATCAGCATATAGTGATGTCCGGGCTCCTGATGGTAGGACTGAGACCATGTCATTTACAGCAAGAAGGAGTAAAGTGGTACTAAGCAGACTTCCTTGTGGGACACCTTCGAACTGAGGAAAGGATGATGGCGTGGAAGAGGCAATTTTGACCCGGAAAGTACGTTTGGAAAGGAAAGATTTTATGAAGACATCCATGTTTCCACGTATATATAAGGAGGACAATTGTTGGAGAATATGGTATTGCCATGTGGTATATGCTTTTTCTAGGTCAAATAATATGGCTAATACAGATTCATGGCGTGCAAAATGCAACTGTAATATATGTCTCGAAATGGGGAAGGGGGTCTGCTATACTAGGAAGGAGAGAGGAGCTTGTGAGATTCAAGATACCACATCAAGCGGAAGTTAACCATTCGTTCTAGTAGCTTCCAGAAGCAGCTAGTTAGAGTGATGCGGCGGTAATCTTGAGGTAGGGTACCTGATTTATTGGATTTTAAGAAAGCTTCTCGCCAATGAGAAGGGAAATTTCCTGACGTCCATATGTGGTTGAAAATAGTTAAAAGAAAGGATAGAGAGGACGATACCGTCATGGCCTTCGTGAGTGTTGCGGCACGATTGTAATGCAGCATTGTTTAGAAGAAAAGGAGCATTGTAGGACTCATCAGAGGATAGGGTGAAGGTGATGGGGGTGCATTCCTTGATGGTCTTAAGGGAAGAAATGATCAGAGATGAGAGTATCTCGAATATGGAGGATGGGGGCAGGATGGGGGTGATGTTTGCCTAGTAGTTTATGGAGCCGACACCAAACAGCTGAAATAGAAAAGAATTTTGCCAGCTATTTGTCTTACTGCTTCTGATTGTACGGCGAAGATGGGCAGATGCTCTTTTAAAGGAGATAAGGGCTGATAGCTGTTCAAGAGTGCTCGTTTTAAATGAAGCGCTTTGGTGCAATCAGAATTCCACCATGGAACACATTTGGAGGTATAAGGTCTTGAGGTTCGAGGAATGGCTGTATAGGCAGCTCTTAGGATCGTGGTTGTATAACATTGTAGCATATCTGAAATGGGTATGAAGGGGGTTGGAGGGATAGATATAGTAGAGAGTGAAGTGAAAGTACGCCAGTCAGCTCGATCAAAGCACCAGCGTGGGGGATTAGAAAGTGTTACATATGAAGTAGGAGAAAAGAGTATTGGGGAGTGGTCTAGAACTGACCAATGGAAATCTAAATGAAGAGTAGGGGAGCATAGACAGAGGTCAAGGCATGAAAAGGATTGCGTGCGCATGTCAAAGTGTGTTGGGCGATCTGAATTGAGAATAATTAGGTTATTTGTGGAGAGGAAACGTTCTAGAGATCGGTGGTAGAGTCACCCCACAGAGTGTGGCGGCAGTTGAAATCACCAACTACGAGGAAAGGTGGTTGGAGTTGGGAAATTAGAGTCTCAAAGGCAGTAAAGTCAATGGGATGGGATGGGGAGAAGTAGACTGAAATCACTGTGATCCAGCGGCGAAGAATGATGCGAATAGCTGTGCACGGGACAGAAGTTTGTATGGGAGGTATGACATAAGGTGTTTTATGATGGATAAGTATAGACGAGACATAAAGGGAGTGTGGGGAAGAGATAAAATGGTAATTGGGAATTGGAATAGGAGGGTGTGTGAGGAGTCTCTTGGAGGCAGATAATAGATGGATTATAAGAAGCAAGGATATGACGTAGGTCTGATCTAAGAGAGCGGAAACCGCGAATATTCCAATGTAGGAGAGCTATATCCTAGTTGATTTACGAATGATAACGCAAGTACGTGTTGGGGAATTGGAAGGGGAAGGATAGTTGGAATTGAAGGGGGTGGGTTGTGTTGGGAGGGAGTAGGAGGAAGTGGTGTGGGGGAGTATTAGTGGTAGGAGGATGGATATCATAAGGATGAATATTTGGAGTTGAAGGGGATGTGTTGTCTTGGCATTAGGAGGAAGGGGTGTAGGGGTGCTGTAAGAGGGGGATGAATATCAGGAGGATGGGTATTGGGAGGATGGATATCGGTGGTGGACGGGATTGAGGGGGTTAGGTTGTGTTGAGAGGGAGTAGGAGGGAGGGGTGTAGGGGAAATATGAGCAGCAGGGGAATGGATATCGGCAATCACTTCAAGTGTGGAGGAAGCATGACTTTTGGAATTTTGTGTCTCAAGCATATAGTTTTGAATATCTTCCATAGTTTCTGCAGAGAAGTTGGTTGGAGAGCTTTGTGGGACAAAGGTTTTTTTATGAGGGGGTGAAGAGGAGACTGGTGTTTGAGGAATAAAGGTAAAGGTAGGTGGTGAGTGTGCTGTAGGGGAAGAAGGGGTGGAACGTTTAGTCTGTCTACTGCGGGTAGTGCGGGGAGGGAGAGGGGATGGTGTTGGGGCTGTAGGTGAGATTGGAGCTGTGGTCAAGATTGGGGTGTCTGGATTTAGAGTGGCTAAAGAATCGGTTTGAGGGAGGTAGAATGTAGAAGTGGAAATGGGGACATCTTCGGGTGGAGGGGGAGGGGCAGAGTGACCGATGTTACTAGAGAATGGAAGTATGAGAGAAACCTTGTCGACGTGCTTCCTGTCTGGCTTCATGTAAAGTGAGACCATTTTTGTTTCTGAGTTGCTACCTCAGATTCAAACTTGCAAGTAGGACAGCCTCTATAAAATACATTATGGGGGCCGCCGCAGTTAGCACATGTACGTGTTTGTGCAGAGCAGTTTGATCGGTTATGGCCAGGTTGGGCACATATGGGGCATCGGTCTGTGGAACGGCAGTGTTTGGCAGGATGTCCAAAGCGCCAACAGACTTTGAGGTATCCTAATGTCTTCTCCACAGTCTGACCAATCTTCGGTATAAACTGGGCAGTTTGCTGGAGAGAGAGAGTTCCGGTACATGTATTAAGGGTCGGATGAGGTTCTGCAGGAATGGGGTTGCCAGAATGATCAGTTAGATTTGATAGTGCTATAGATTAAGTTTCTGATCTGACTGTTACCAGACGGGAGCGATCGCGTCTGGTATAGAAAGGGACTCTGCCTACTTGTTTTTGGAGGCATTGTTGAAAGAGAAGAGTGTTGCCTGAGTAAGGAGCGGTAGAAGGGATCACGAAAAATCGGTCCCATTTAGCTGGGCTAAACAGAGTATTTAAGATATTTGCAGGGTTGGTGGTGGTGGATGGTCGGGGACGTGTGGAAGAGGGAGTATTAGGGTGTGGTGGAGAATAAGGCTGCAAGGTAGTAATAAGGGAAGATGGGGTGCTTGATGAAGGTTGTGGGGGTAGAGTTGATGAATTTGAGGAAGTTGGGAGCGTAGGAATGCCTTTTGGAGATTGAGTCTCTGCTTGGGTGGGTAATGCACTAGTAGGCATTGAGGAGTGGGTAGTAGTTTCAGTGTTTGGAGTCGTGATCAAAGGAGAGCCTAGGGTGGGGCTATTTGATAAAGGGGCAAGCCTCATTGCCCCTAATAAGGGGATTACATCTTAATTACTGGTCATGGGGAACCTTGATTATATATAGCGGCATAAACAGTCCACCCCTATGCTCTGAGAGGCTTGACAATAAATCGTGCCCATGATTCCCGCAGGCCGTTCAGGACTGGCACAAGGTCAGCCTTTTATCCTTTCAGCACGGCTCTTACACCTTAGGAAGTAGGTAGTAGAAGGGGTAGGAGAAGGGACGGAAACAAAAAGCTGGAGAGGGAAAAGACCATGCAAAATTAGTTAAGTCGAGGGCTGAGGCCCTAGACAGGGGAGATCCCTGTATTGGGTCTCAGTCTCCGTCTCCTAAGCCCCCCCACGACAACAACGGGCAAGGAATTGAGGGGGTGGAGGGGGAAAAGACCATGCAAAATCAGTTGAGGTGAGGGCTGCGGTCCTAGGCAGGGGAGATCCCTGCATTGGGTCTCAGTCTCCGTCTACCTAAGACCTAAGACTGCTAAACTTTTCAGTACGATTCCCAGACCACTTTTACAGTGTTACAATGCTATTTATGCAATTGTCAAATTATGTTACTTTAGAATCCCAGAGTATACAAAGATAAAAAATTAAATTTGCCTTTTATTTTTATGTTCTAAGACAGCCGAGTTTTAAGTCAAATGAAATTATTTTTTTCTATAAGGGAAGGAAGAGGTAATTTGTCTCACAACAACGGGCAAGGGATGGGGGAGGGGGGTATTGTGAGACAAATTTCCTCTTCCTTCCCTTATAATGGTTAATGGTTAAGATAAATGTGCTAGACATATAAGGTCATATAGCACTATAGGAAAGTATAGTAAAGAGGGATGTCAGGTGACAGTTGTTATGTGTCAACTATCTAGAATAGTGTTGAGAGGTTGAGGATGAGGAAAAAGATTATGGTGGTTTAGGTAAGGGAGTTAGATCAAGTGAAGGATATTTATGTGTCTGAGGAAGGAGAACAGGTTGTCGAGGCAGAAGCTGTGAGATTCTGTAAGGATGTCTGATATGTTGGGAGGTCGGTGAATGGAGGATAGGTGTGGAAAAGCAGAGGTACGTGCTGTATTAAAACGTGGACAGGACAAGAGAATGTGTGGGACTGAAAGAGGGATGTTACATAGAGGACATAGGGGCGGGTCTGAGCGTGACATCAGAAAGGCATGTGTTAGGCGAGTGTGGCCAATACGTAATCATGCGAGGGCCATCTCCCAACGTCTGTTTTTGTGAAATGGAGCTGACCAAGAGGAGATTGATGGTTTTTCGGTATTGTTGTGGAGGCTTGACCAGAAAAATTGCCATCGGGTATACAAGAAAGTCTTAAAGTGGGGGTAGTAACCTGTAGCTGGAATATGTGAGAAGCGTTGTTGAGGTGATGTGGACATTGCGGCATATCGTGCAAGAGTATCTGCCTGTTCATTGCCAGGGATTCCAACATGGCTGGGTACCCAGCAAAATCTGACAGATTTGTGACGTTTTTCCCTTATAGAACAACAAAATAATTTTAAGATTTAATTTAAAACTCGGCTGTCTTAGAACAACAAATAAAAGGCAAATTTGATTTTTTATCTTTGTATACTCTGGGATTCTAAAGTAACTTAACATAATTTAACAATTGTATAAATAGCATTGTAACACTGAAATAGTGGTTTGGGAATCGTACTAAAAAGTTTAGCAGTCTCTGAACCAGACATCTCTGTGAAATTTGGTTTTTGTTCAGTGTCTTCTATGACATACTTAACATCGGAAATGTTTTGTTTACCAAATACCAAAAGCAAGAAAAGTAGGAATACAGTCTCCTGCAAGTGAATTTAATATGGAAAAAACCCTATCAAGAAATCAGAAGAAAAAGAAGAAAGAAGAGAGAGAGGGAGGGAGGGAGGGAGAGAGGGAGGAGGGAGGGAGGGAGGGAGGGAGGGAGGGAGAGAGGGAGAGAGGGAGAGAGGGAGAGAGGGAGAGAGGGAGAGAGGGAGAGAGGGAGGGAGGGAGGGAGGGAGGGAGGGAGGGAGGGAGGGAGGGAGGGAGGGAGGGAGGGAGGAGAGGGGGAGGGAGGGAGGAGGGAGAGAGAGAGAGAGAGAGAGAGAGAGAGAGAGAGAGAGAGAGAGAGAGAGAGAGAGAGAGAGAGAGAGAGAGAGAGAGAGAGAGAGAGAGGGAGAGGAGAGAGGGAGAGAGGGAGGGAGAGGGAGAGGGAAGAGAGAGAGAGAGAGAGAGAGGGAAGAGGGAGAGGGAGAGAGAGAGAGAGAGAGAGAGAGAGAGAGAGAGAGGGAGAGGGAGAGGGAGAGGGAGAGGGAGAGGGAGAGGGAGAGGGGAGAGAGAGAGAGAGAGAGAGAGAGAGAGAGAGAGGAGAGGGAGAGGAGAGGGGAGGGGAGGGAGAGGGAGAGGGAGAGGGAGAGGGAGGAGGAGAGAGAGAGAGAGAGAGAGAGAGGGAGAGGGAGAGAGAGAGGGAGGAGGGAGAGAGAGAGAGAGGGGGGGAGGGAGAGGGGAGAGAGAGGAGGGGAGGAGAGGGAAGGAGGAGAGGGAGAGAGGGAGAGGGGGAGGGGGGGAGGGAGAGGGAGGAGAGAGGAGGGGGGGGAGAGGGAGAGAGAGAGGGGGGGGGGAAGAGGG